ATTGATGAAAAGAGGGAACTGGTGGTGAAAAATTTCAGGCATATAAAGCATATCAATGCATACAGATTGAGGTTGTACCGGTAATGCCATACAGTGATTTTAATATTTGACAGGATATAATATAATTATCATAGATGTGAAATTTCAGTATTATTATAATCAAATATAAACTAGGTTGTTAAACTGGACAGATGTATTATGATCAATTTAAAAAAAAAATTTCACAACATCAAAGATTGTAACAGAAATCGCAATTTCTGTCATTTTTACTTTTCACGCTGCATCATGCTACGCCTGCTTACAAAAATATTTTGAGTGAAAACTTTTTGTTTGTTGGCTCCAATATTAGGATTCATTTCCAGAAATATTGAACAATATAAGAAAAAAAATGACAGAAAAATTTGGACAAGAAAGTCTGGTGGTGAAAAAGTAACAAGAAGAAGTATTACAAACAAAACACACAATATATGTTTATAACAATGATATTGTGGAAATGTTTCTGATGTACAGTGAGATAATAATACTTAGTAAGCAGTTGAAATATTAAGTCAGAAATGTCAGAGGAATCTGTTGGCAAGGTAGACATTACACAAAGGACTGTGTCAAAGCACATCTCAATACATCGCATGTTGCAATACAAGTTAGTTTGACCATCAAATCATTTATATAAGCACATGTGCTACTAATAAAGCAAAAACAGTACATGTAGGCAAGAAATATCAAGGCATGGAAATACGGTTGACATGATACCGGTATATACTTAAAGTGGAATATCAACATAGAATGTCATGTAAGTTGGTTAAAATGTAGATTTTCTGAAGGGAAGCCAGGCAGCCTCAGTAGTGTTTTCCAAAATCAATAACACAGGTTTAATCTGTGTGCCTATAAGTTTCAAAGATAAACTCAAGACAAAGCAATGTTAGGATGTGTTATTAGTAGCCATCTGACACACAATGAGTGTTTCCAAACATTTGAGTGGTTTGTCTCCGCCCCTGTTTGTTTTACAGATTAGTCATTTGCATATGAATGTGTCAGACACAAGGTCGCACAGCCACTGAAAAAAAATCATTGATTTTGGTGTTTTCATATGCCGAATTTATCCAATTATAGCTATCCC